TTAAAATCTTGATGCTGTAGTGAGTACCATATTTTCTGTCATAGAAGCTAATGCATTGAAATTGGTTTCATCCTGCTCTTTGTAGGCACCTCATCCTTTTTACCAACACAGCAATGACCTGGTGCCATTTACGGATCCACTCTGTGAGTCATTACATCCACCGGGTGAACACAAACGTGACGATCCACGTCAGGATGGTCACTGTCATTATGATGTTGAGTATGCAGATGGCGGTTCATCTCTTGGATTCCTTGTCAGGGATGTGTTTGCTTTAAACTACAAAAATGGAGCTCCACTTAACCCTCGTCTAGCTCTTGGGTTGGTAACTTTGACCGCTTTCTTAGGTTCCAATCTTTTCAAACATTAATAATTTCATTGTCTAGAAGTAATCACATTATTACAAGCAATCTATTCGGTTATTCCTCATAAGACTCCCTGAAATGAAAACATCCCTTGCTATTCTTGTATCCAAAATTTACAATTCTTGATAATGCTTGATGGTGTTCTGTGCATTAACTTTTTCCATGTGTGCAGATGCGGGTATTATCAACCTTCTGGCACATCTCATCATCCTTTGGATGGAGTCCTTGGCCTTGGCAGGGGGAAAACCAGCATCGTGTCTCAGCTTTACAGCCAAAGTCTGGTGAGGAATGTTGTTGGGCACTGCTTGAGTGGAAGAGGAGGAGGTTTTCTCTTCTTTGGGGATGGCCTCTATGATTCTTCACCCATTGTTTGGACATCAATGTCTTCAGAACATCCGTAATTTAATTCTCCAGTTCCATTTTTGTTTTTCATCATTTCAACAATTGAACATTTGAACTTCACCAAAATAATTCAATTTGTAGCTTTCTGTTCTGATGGTGACTCCTCTGCTATCTGCCCACTTGATCATCATTTCATGTCAGGAAATCATACTCGCCTGGGTCTGCAGAGCTGGTTTTTAGTGGGAAAACAACTGGATTAAAAGATCTCATTGTAGTTTTTGACAGTGGGAGTTCTTACACCTACTTCAATTCTCAGGCATATCAAAAGTTACTGGATTTGGTAAGTTAATGGGCAAATTTTACAATGTTCTCCAAATCGTTTTACAAATTTTATTATAACCATTTTCATGGTGTACTTTTTATAACGTTCAAGCCAAATGTGTTCTTAGATGAACAAGAAACTAGCTGGAAAGCGCTTGAAGAAAGCAACAGATGACCAGACACTCCCTCTCTGTTGGAAACGCGTGGGCGGGAGGCCTTTCACAAGCGCGCATGATGTCAGGGAATTCTTCGAGCCCATTTCCCTTGTCTTCACAAGTAATGGAGCCAAGACTCAGTTTAAATTACCTCCTGAATCTTATCTAATAATATCAGTGAGTACCAGACACTATTTTTTACCATCATTTTCTTCCCCTTTTTTCTTGTATCAAATCAATAACTGACAAAGAAATTTCGCAGAACAAGGGAAATGTTTGCTTGGGAATCCTTAATGGTACCGAAGCAGGTCTGAAAAACTTAAATGTCATTGGAGGTAAGAGTTTCTGTGCACGATGTATGAAGCCTTATTAGTAGTGTCTGCCTTTTTATACAATATGATGAATTCTTTTTTCTTGGTGGATCATTTTAACAGACATATCTATGCAAGACAGAATGGTGATATATGACAATGAGAAGCAGTTGATTGGATGGGCTCCTGCTAATTGTGACCAGCTTCCCAAGCCTAAATATGCTTATACAAAATGAAGACACAAGTCTTCCCCATTAATTGTCCACCTGTAACTGTATTAGGATACAATTATTTCCAAAACGGAATGAGTCCCACTTTCATTAGACTGAATACTTGTAAGTCATAGCCAGAGCAGAAGCTGTGTTACCCATTGTAAATATGTGTATGCGTATTGTTGTTGTTTTAAGAAAAAAGTATCAATAGATATCTATAAGAAAAAGAAATGTTTAGAGGTACCATTAATCCATTATTTACAGAGTAATGCTTTATATGAGTAGCGAAAAGGCAAAGAAAATGCTGTGCAACACTATATAAGGCTTTCTTTTAAAAAATAAATAAATAAATAAGAGTTTATAATGCTTTCTGTTACTATTTATCACTCGAGACAACTAACACACAATTAATTTGGTACGTAAATTTAGGAAATACCTTGCATATAAAAATAATTAAAAATTGAGAAAAAGAAAAATCAAATGTGTTAAAATATATTAAAAATATCAAAACGTCCAATAATATTTGTAAGATATGTAAGGTAAAATGTGAGTTTTATTTTTATTAAATTATTATGAGATTATTATTAGACATTATGATACTTTTTATGGTAGGACATTTGATTTTTTTTATTTCCTTAAAAATTTATTTTATTTCAATATATAACTTCTATTGAGTTGCTTTATTTATTTAAAAAAAATTCAACTTTCATTCATATGCTTTGTAAAAATATTATTTAAAGTTAAATACTGCAATTAGTTGAAGGCTACTCATATGTTTAGATAAATGAGAAAAATGCCATTATAAAATTTCTCTT